TTTAGTTCTCCCCCACAAATTCCTTTAGTCCCCCCCAACAAATTCCTTTAGCCCCTATGCCCGATACTAGTCCACAAATTCCTTTAGACATTGCAGCTATGCAATGACACCTGAATGTAGGAAACTCACAGGCCAGTGGGGGGAAAGTCTTGTAAATTCAGTGGCGGTGGAAACATCTCAACACTGGCTTGGGTCTGGCGGTGGAAACATCTCAACAGTGCCGTGGGTCTTGTAAATTCAGTGGCGGTGGAAGCATCTCAACCCTGGCGTGGGTCTCCACATGGCTCCTCCAGCCCCAGGGCTCTGGCTCCATCAGCGTGACTCCATCTGGCTTGTTATCAAGAATGTGAAGCTGAGAGTGTGTGTCCTGCCTCCAGGGAGGAAGACAGGAGACCCCAGAGTCCTCAGGAGAAGGCCACGCCCACACAGAGGCCTCATTGGCTATGAGCTGATGGACAGGCTTGACTCCGCCCCTTCACTCAAGGACCGATTATGTAACTACCACAGACAGCGAGATGCTGTTAGGTAGGAGAGACCAGTCCCTGGGAAGGACAGCATGCTTGGTACAGTGGACGGGCAGCGAAAGAGAGGAAGGCCATCAACGAGATGGATGGACACCATGGCTGCGACGATGGGCTCACACAGAGGAACAACTATGTGGAAGGCACAGGACAGAGCAGTCTCATGTTGTCTTTGAACATTTTCTTGTACTGAAGTAAGGCTAAATAACTACTTCGTGAATCTCTCCCGAGTACAAATTTTGTCAGTAGAAATTCTTGAAGGCATGGTAAAGGATCTCAGTGATTGATACTCCAGGCATTATCTGCATAGCTATGTCCGTCCTCTGGGGCTCTTGTGAGGTAGCATGGATTCAATGGCGGCGAGTCTGCGCTCTGGAAGGTGATGGCTGGCACAGCCTCTCTTTGGTGGGGCCTGGGATCTCAGCTGGTGTTGATAATTTCATCACTGTGGCCTAACAGGACGGGTCTCATGCCCTCCGGTGGGTGGTCCCAACCCTGCTCCAGGACCGGCAGGACTGCCCCTGGCTTTTCGTGGTTATACATCTTGACGAGAGCAGAAAGCCTCCTTTCGCCCCCTTGCAGGGGCAAGTGCTTTTGAACTGCTGACCTTGGGACTAGCCCCCAACTCATGACCCCCTATGACACCAGGCCCCTTATCATAGAGATCACACCCCCCAAAGCACATACTGGTACCCTCTTGCCATCGAGCCGATTCTGACTCATAGCGACCCCGTCTAGGGTCCCCGAGGGTGCCAATGTTTACACTGGCTCACAGCCTCGCCTTTCTCTTGTGCAGTCAGTGGTGGGGTTTGAAGTGCTGACCTTGCCGTTAGCTGCCCAAGGCCTCACCCACAGCCCCAGCCCAGAGCAGACGTCTTCGTATTGTGAACCGGAGCTTCCGGGTGACTCGAATGGTCAGTTAGCTTGGCCAATAACTGGAAGGTGGTCAGTGGTCAGTTCCAGTCCAATCAGATGCACCTCGCAAGAAAGACCTGGCAAACCAGCCACTGAACCATGTGGCCCCCAATTCCCCTTGGAGTCGTGTGGTTCCCACACACTCGGTCCTCTGACACTCGGGCTCCCCAGGCGTGACAGGTGGGGGCGGTGTACCGAGTCAAGAGTGGGCCAACACTGCTGTCGGCTTGATGGGGTCCCAGTCCCCATCCCAGCAGGGATTTTGTGGGCCCTGGCTAAGGAACCTCGGTGGCATAGTGCTTATGCACTGGGTTGTTAACCACAAGGTCAGCAGTTCGAAACCACCAGCCTCTCCAAGGGAGAAAGACAAGGCTTTCTACTCCTGTGAAGAGTGACAGTCTCAGAAACCCACAGGGGCAAGGGACAGTTCTATCCGGCCCTCCAAGGTCACTGTGAATCTGCACGGATTCGATGGCAGTGAGTTTGGTTTGGGGGGTGCCTGGGCACAGAGATCCGGGAAGCACCTGGAGCAATTGTACAGAACAATGGCACCACCACACCTTGGAGCTCAGAGCGGGCAGTGGTGCTAAGAGAAAGAACAGTCTGTCCCCCGGCAGTGGCAGCAGCAGCAGCGGCAGCGGGAGCCGAGCCCAGCAAGACCAGCGTGGTGTTCTAGAAGTCACGTGGCAGGATGGCAGGATGGCAGGAAGCCACGATGGGGTTGAGTGGGTGGGGCTGGGGGGATGGAGATTCCAAGCCTGGCTGGACCCGTATAGCTCCATCTGGGTCCCATGCACCTAGGCTAAAGCCTGAGGCCTGTCTGTAACCTTGCCCTGCACTCCGACCTTGGGGACCAGGCTTTCTGCTGGACCCCCGAGTGAGGATCTAAAAACATACCTTTGCTAGGGCAGGGTGGAGCAGGGCTGGCAGCTAGGGTGTCCTGATAGTGGAGCTGATAAGCAACACCCAGTGAGAGCTACCTAACACCTCCACCCTCTACCATTCCCAGCATTCTCACTGGGCACCGTCCCCACAATCCTGGTTAGATGCCCGCCCATGTTTGCAACCACCGCGTCCACCCATCCGGTCCAGGGTCTTCCTCTTTGCGATTACCCTCCACTAGCCTAAGCAGGATGTCATTTTCCCAGAAACTGGCCTCCCCGGATCCAACCAAAGTACATGAGACAAAGAAGTCTTTTGCAAATTTTCTTTCTTTCGTTTCTTTTGAGACCAAGTCTTGCTAGCCTTGCTTCGAAGGAACCTTCTGGCTGTATTTGTTCTTCTGGCAGTCCGTGGTAGGCTTTACTATTCTTGGCCGGCACGGCCTTCAAAGACGGCCTTTCTTCGCCAGGGTTAGCTCCTTGCTTTGCTCAGCGTTCGCACATCTCGGAGGTGGAGGAGAACATCACGGCTTGGGGGCAGGTCTAGCGGACCTCCTATTTCTCCCCCGGCAGCCCTCAGTGACTCCGTGGCCTTTCAATGCTTTCCAGAACTACGGTCTTGTGCAGCAGATTTGCCCAGGGCCTAGGAGCCGGCTCAGTGGTCAAGAGCAGCACCGTGGGATACAAGTCGGCCTGCTAACCACAGGGTTCGCAGTTTGAACCCCCCGCCCTCCCCAACGTGAGGCTGTCTCTTTCCATGATGGGCGACCTCTGAAGCCCTCGGGAGCCTTCCTCCCCTGTCCTCCAGGGTGGCTGTGAGCCAGAATGGACTCAAGGGCCATTGGTTTGGTTTATAGCTGATGCAACACAGTGTGCTTTTCTGATTGCTGTTTCCATGGGCAGCACGTGCAGGGTGGAGTCAAGCCAAACCCTGGACGTCAAGGGCGGTGCCACGGGCTAAGCATCAGGTCGTTAACTGCAGCTGGTGGGTTTGAACTGCTGACCTTGAGGTTAGAAGACCTATGGGAAGTGAAGTCACCTGAAGCGATGGGGGGCTCCTTTTACCGTCGTCACATCAGCTCAAAAGCACAAGCCAAGCGCGTCCCTCTCTTACTTCCCTCGTGAAGGTGACCACCACATCTTCTGGCTTTCCCTTGGCTGGGTCCTCAGCCTCACTCCCAGAGTCTCCGCTCTCTGCCCTCAGGGGAGACCATCCAGGCGGAGGTAGTGTGGGAGTCTCATGTTCAAACTCTTTCCCCAGAGCCCGTACAGCTCAGACACACGGCCACCAGCGGGCACTCCAGCTGGCCAGCCAGGAGCAGCCCCCACCTGGTCTCCCGCAGGCAGCTGGAGGGGCTACCTGGAGGCAAGGTGGGCTGTCCTGGGTGGGCGCTGGGGAGGGTGGTGCCTGACCCAGTAGTCGCCCCCCCCCTGTGTGTCTGTGGTAGCACCAGGGACTGCTGTGGAGGGGACGGGATCCCTCATAGATCACCTTGGCCAGAGGGCCCACCCTCTGTAGACAGCAAGCTCAGTTATGGGAGGGAGGCGGGTGGGGTAGGAACAACTGCAGGTGTCTGAGCACCTGTCACTCCACCTCCAGGCCTGGAAGCCCCCTCACAGCCCCCCTCCTCTGTGTCCCGGGGGGCCTGGCTGTGACCTGAGACCACCACATAGCTGGGTCCTGGAACAGAGGCTGGCCACCTGGATCCCATCGTGCCTCCCTCTGCTGCCCCCACACGGCCACTCCTGGAACTGCAGGCTGGCCTCTGCTCCCCATGGCCAAGGTTCTGCACCCCTACTCCCCATCCTATCCTGCTGGGCCCTCATGCCCACCCCCCTTTATCACTGTGCCACAAAAGAGACTGTATACTGGAGGGAGTGAACGCCCACACCCTCACCTCTCTTCCAGCCAGTGTCTCTCTCCACACCTCCCACCCGCCCGTCTGGCGATGCCGGGGCCTGTCCTGGATAAAGCAGGAGGGTACTACCAGTCACTGTGTCTGGTCCGCCCACCTGACTCAGGAGAAACCCGGTGCTCAGGAAATGGTGACCAGAGTGCAGGGGACCCAGGAGACTAGCAGAGTAGGATTTGGGGTGCCAAAGATACCAGGGGGCTGAGGGCCCAGGAGATGGGGTACCTGGGAGACCAGGGTCTGGAGGCTCAGGAGATGGGGGACCTGGGAGACGGATGGGGCAAGGGATCAAAGGGCTGAGGGTCCAGAAAATTGAGTCAGGTGACCTGGGAGACTGGATCTGAGAGTCCAGGAGTTGGGGTATCCAGGAGACTGGAGTCTGGGGTGCCAAAGGGACCAGGGGGCTTAGGTCCCAAAAGATGGGGGAACCAGGTAGCCCGGGAGACAGCTCTGGGAGCCAGGGTCCCCAGGGCCAGTCTGGGTGGGCTTGCCCCAGGTGGGGAACAAAGACAGGCCCGTGTGCATGTCATCACCTGAGCAGTCTAGCCCAACAGCCATGCTCAACACCCCTCGTCCACCCCAAGGGGTGGCCGCTGTCTTGGAAACCACCTCCCAGACAGAGGCGGGCAGAAGCCGGGGAGATCTGGGCCAGGGGATGGGCAGTGGGTGGAGGGGTGGGAGTCAGGCCCAGGTACCCCCTGGAGCGGTGGAGGGTGCCCCATGGGCCAGTGGGGAAGTCGCCAGCCCTGAGGCAGACCGTCAACACAGACTGACAGTGGTGGGCACATTGGCTGTATTTCCTCCTTCCCTGAGGGGCAGTAGCAAGGACAGTGAGGCTGCCTCACAGCCTCCAGACGCGTCCGTCACCAGGGAGGCAGGTCCTCGGAGCAACGCATCATGCTTGATAAATAAGAGGGTCACTGATAGAGAGGCCGGGTACACGGTGGCTCCAACATGGGGAGGGTGGTGCAGGGGCGGGTGCAGTTTCCTTGACTGGGGCTTGCCCATGAGCTGGGGCTGCCCCAGGGGAAGCTGACGCACAGACAGGGAGCTCCAGAGGGTGCCCGCGTGTGAGTGACCAGTTCAGGGCTGGAGTGTGGGCAGCCCCTCCACAAGGGGCCCTGCTCTGGGGTCCTGAGTCCGGGATCAGGGCCTGCCGCAGCGAGGCACTGGGAGCACGTGCCCAGGCGTCAGGGTGACAGGCGTGTGGTCTGGCACCTGAGACTCCAGGGCTTGCTAGAAGCTCAGTGATGGCTGGAGCCGGGCGTCAGCCTGTGGGCAGCAACTTTAGTCTGAGCAGTGTACTCACTAGCTCCCTGGCGTCCAGGCCACAGGGTGCTAGCTGGGTGCTCACGCCCGCGAGCCCCAAAGGACATCCCTGCAACAGACAAGACAGATTGGTGCTCAGATGGGGCGGGGCCTGGATGGGGTGGGGCGGAGTCATGGGTGCTGGAGTGTCCAAGAGCAGATGGGGTGGGGCCAGATAGATTGGGCAGGGTTATGAGGGCAGGGCCAGGTGGGGGTGAAGGGCGCTCCCCAGGGTCAATGAGGTGGGGCCTGGGCGGGGCAGGCGAGGGGCGGGTGCTCACCGGTGGCCCTTGCGGCGCTGGATGAGCAGGTACAACAGTACTGCCAGCAGGGCGGCAGTCAGGCCTCCGAAGATGATACTCAGCAGTACAGTGTAACTCCGCCCTGGGGAGGGGGCCTCGGTGAGTGCGACCGGGGTGGGGAGGGGGGCGGCGTGTCCCGGGACACCAGTGGGCACATGGGTGGCTCGACCTACCTTTCTGGCACTTGGGGGTGGGCATGGTCCAGGTGCCATCTGCCTGGCAGGTGCTGGCCTCCGCCCCATCCAAGCTGTAGCCAGGCTGGCAGCCAAAGTGGACGGTGGAGCCGGCCAGGTACTGGAAGCTGTTCTTGTAGCCATTGGCAGGAGAGGCCAGCCAGCCGCAGGACACCACTGGGAGGCACGGGGCAGTGACAAGGCTGAGAGGGGGGCCGGTGAGGCGACTCCCATCGCCGGAGCCACTGGCCTCCTCACCAAGAGCCCACGTCCCTCCCCTGCCACCCTCACCTGGTTGCAGGCTCTGTACTCGATTCCGGTGTAGCTGGTGGGCCGTGCGGGTGGCATTGCCCACACTCAGGCTCCCCGTGGCCACCACGTCGAAGCTGCAGAAAGGGTCACCCTTACACAGGGTGTCCACCTGGGGCGGGATGTCCACCTCGTCGGGGAAGAGGGGCAGGTAGGAGGGGTCGTGCTTGGGCCGGTACAGGAAGTTGTTGACCAGGAAGCGGGAGTCGTAGGTGAACAGGGAGGACTCGTTCCGCACAGCCCCTGGGGATGGAGGACATGGGGTTGGGGTGGGGGGTGGTCAGGTGAGGCACACGCTGATGGTTCTGTGGCCCCATGCCCTGGCCCCCTCAGCCACTCACAGTCCGCCCCGAACTCAAACAGCTGGCGGGCGCTGGCGCTGGCAGGCAGGACGCGGCCGCTGCGGAGGGTGAAGTCGTCGGCCGGGTTCCCGTTGAGCGTCCCCAGGAGGCCCCTGGTGCGGTTCTGGAATTTCTCCGGCAGCAGGACGGAGACGCTCAGGGACGAGCCCTGGCTGCTGACCTCCAGGCCGGCCCCCGAGGACAGCATGATGGACACACGCTTGTCGGTTGTGGAAAGGAACATGCCTACAGGGGTGGTGGGGAGGGTCCAGCCAGGGGCCATGGGGTAACCATCCCAGGCCAACCTCCCTCCCCTCTGGTCATCTGTGATTGGACCCCAGGTGTCTGGCCTGGCCCTACCGCTCAGGGTTCCCAAGGGACTGGACACAGTCGTTGCTCTAGCCCAGAGGTGGACAAGTCTCCCTAGGCAAAGGCCCACGGCCTGCAGACTCTCTGAGCTCAGCCTCTCAGTTCCCTCTGCAGTGGGTGGACCATGAGGCTGGTCACCACCCCTCGAGGAGCCCTGGACCCCGTGGCCACTCACCCTTGAGGTCCATCCAGCTCTGCTCATCGAAGCTGAGCACCCGCTGGTTCAGCAGCACCTGCAGGGGCGTCGCAGACCCGCTGGCCAGCCGCACCTCCAGCACGTCCAAAGAGTCTTCCTGGACCGCCACTGCCACCAGCCTTGTGCCCCGAGCCTGAGTGCCTGGGGGTGGCAAGGTCACTGGACCCGGCCGCCTGGCCCACCCCCCTGGCTCCCAGGCCCAGGCTGTGTCGCCTTGAGTCCCCTGGCTTACCGTTGGGCATCATGTCTGACTGAGTGCGGCCCTGCACGCTCAGCCGGGGCAGACCCACCTCCAGCAGCACGTATTCGCCACGCCCGTTGAAGGTGAAGTTGGCGCCGTCAAAGGTGAGGAAGTGAGGGTCCCCAAAGGCGGAGGCTGGGAGCAAGGGTGGGGGGGTCAGGCCTGAAATGCCATGCCCTCTTTGCGCCCCCCAACCCCCCACCGAACTCCACCTGTGCCCCGAGGCCCCCACACCTACCCAGGCTCGGGGGCTGGTAGTTCCGACAGCCGCTGGACGGCCGCCGGCTCATGTAGCGGGGGCACTCGGGCGCCCAGAGGCAGCAGTAGTAGAAGCTGATGACATCATAGAGCCAGTGGGAGAGGCCAGGCACGCGCGGGGGTACGCGGAATGGGGGAGCGCCCCAGTCGTGGCCCCGGTCGGGCGTGCTGCCGCTGACAGAGTCTGCCGTCAGCAGCTGCATGTTGTCCGCGGTGTAGCAGCACTGCTGGCCTGCAGCATAGCGGGGGCTGAGGGTGCCGGTGGGTTAGGGCCGGCCAGTGGGCATTGCCCCCCACCCGACCCCCGGTCCCCGTGTCCTTTGGTCTAGGGGTTCACCTGGCCTGCACAGAGCGGACACAGTGAACGGCCTCCGGGTGGTAGGTACACACGCTGCCATTCTCGATGTCACAGCCGTAGTCCGTCTGTAGAGCGGCACCTCGTCACCTCCGGTCTTGGGGGCCTGTCCGTCTCCCCCCGCCCCTCCCACAGCCCAGTCCTGGGGCCTCTCTGGGGGCACTTGGGGGGCAGAGGAAGTCAGGGGGCCCCTGACTACACCTGGCCCCAATCTTCAGAGCCAAAAACCCTAAACTAAACCCACTGCCAGCCAGTCAATTCCGATTCACAGTGACCCCGTAGGACAGGGTAGAGTTGCCCCCGTGGGCTTCTGAGACTGTAGCTCTTTATGGGACTAGAAAGCCTGTCTTTGTTCCGAGGGGCGGCTGGTGGTTTTGAACCGGTGACCTTGCGGTTAGCAGTCCAACACATAACTATGCCACCAGGGTTCCTTTCTGCAGAGCGGGGTCCTGGAAGTGAACGCCCACAGACTGAGGCCTAGGAGGCCGGCCAAAGTGTGGCATATTTGCCCTCAGCCCCATGCTCGGGGCCCCTTGTGTTCTCACAAAGAAGCGTCCAGTGTCGGCCCGGGCCTGGGTCAGCGTGCAGGGGCAGGCAGGCAGCTCCTCCAGGAAGTCGGGCAGCTGGTCTTCCAGCTTCTCCCAGGCCAGGCACTGATTTCGAGCCCAGGCCACTGGGTCGGCCCGGAAGGCCTCTTCCAAGTGCCAGGCCAGTGCGTGCTCATTGCTCCAGAGGGCCTGCACATCCCTGGGGAGTAGGGGAGGACACACATACACACAGGATCCTCAGGGAGCCAGCTCTGCCCCACCCCTCCAGACCCAGCTCCTCCCCATGTGGCTCTGTCCACCCTTGCCTCCTCACCCCCACCCCACCCCTGTGCCCTGGCTCCCAAGCAGGTGGGGGTCCGGCCGGGAAGCCTCACTTCTCCCCATCTGCTCGAGCGCTGTCCAGGATCCGCAGGGCGCCGACATGCCACTGCTGGAAGCGGGGGGCCGCGGGCCTGGGCGTGAAGGTGAAGGAGCCGTTGTTGGAGACCTCGGGGGCCAGGGTGTACAGGAAAGACCACTGTGCTGTCCAGTCCTGCGAGTAGGGCTTCCCTGAGGGCAGAGAAGACCCGCAGCCTGTGCCCTCTTGCAGACAGTGACCCTGCTCACCAGCCACCTCCAGATTGTCCCAGGCCAGGCTGGCCAGGGGGGCGTGTCTCGGGGCCTCTTGTCTCTGGCCACCCAGCCCCTACATGCAGCACCCTCTGCCCACCCCCTCCAGGCCTCTCACCTGTCTCCTGGTAGCCCCACAGCTCGATGGAGACACTGCGGGTGGGCAGCAGATCAGGACTCCATGTCACAGTGAGGGTGCCCTCGGTGCCAGCTGTGCCATAGTACTGCCAGCGCGTCTCGTTTACCAGCAAGCACTTCTCCGTCTCTGACACCTTGCTGGGGTGCACTGGGCAAGGGGGGATGCCCAGTGAGCAGACCCTCCTGCAGCCCTCCCCTCCCCAGAGTGGGACATCCACCTGGAAGACTCCGGCAGGGTGTGGCACAGGGGAAGTGAGGCAGGGGTTTCCCCCACCCTGTGGGGTGCAGCACCCAGGACCTGGGCGGGATGCCCAGGGACTGGTTGGGCCTGTGTGGCAGGTAGGAAGGAGGCTCTGAGACGTTCCAGTGCTTAGATTAGTGCTGGGGAAAGTCCCAGGGCCACAGGGGTGCTTGCTCACCGGCCAGCCAGGTGCCCGAGCGGTCGAAGGTGCGTCCGTTGTCCAGCGAGAGTGTGAAGGGAATGAGGCCACTCTCATAGAGCAGGGGGGACACGCAGTGCACCTGCTGGCGGCTGTCCACCCAGCCTCGGGTCAGCACACGCTCCTGAAACCTAGGAGTCCGAGAGGTGGGCCAGGGCCTGCGGGGCAAGGCCGCCTCCCTTCCCTGCCGGGGGCCCGAGGAGCGGCACCTACCTGCAGACAATGCCCTGGATGGCTCCGGGACGCAGCCACTGGACCACGAAGTCCTTGCCGCCCATGGTGGAGCCCGAGTAGGGCAGGATGTCCAAGCAGAAATCCTTCACATCCAAGCAGCAGGTGTTCAGGCCCCGGCAGGTCGGGTGACAAGAGCAGGGTCCATTCTTGTCCCCACAGCGCTGGGCGCAGCTGTTCTGGGCCCCTGAGGGGAGAGGACACTAGTGCCAGGAGCTGAGCAGGCCACCCTCCCCACACCCAGGTTCCCACCTGAGTGCAGAGACTCTTAGGGACCACAGGGTTCTTGGGGACAAAGGGGTGACCGTCAGCACAAGTCCTGCTGAGGCATGACCGGCTTTCAGCCACCAAGACCCCTGGGCCCAAGGAGAGGGATTCCCATGCAGAGACAACGTGGCCTGTAGCCCCATTTTGTAGTGGTTACGTGGTGGCCGGCTGATGGCCAAGCCACCAGCCGCTCCAGGGGAGCATGACAGAGCTTTCTACTCCCACTTCCGAGTCAGTCCCGGAAACGCACAGGGGCAGTTAGATCCTATCCTAGGGGTGGTTGTGACTTGATGGCAGTGAGGTTGTCTTTTTATTATTTTTTGAGTTGGGCGTGCCATGCAGTGCTCACCCCACTCCCCTCCCAGGGCAGCGCCCCTTAGAGATTCCACCCTTTGATTTCTGGCCAGGGGTCCTGCTTTGGGAGGGTCTGAAGTCCCTGGAGGGGCAGTGGGTCGGGTGAGGGTGGGCGATGCTCTGGTCCTTGCCTACGTGCCCCAGCCAGGACCCGGGCTGGAGCACCCAGCCCCACCTCACCCTACTTCACCCACAGCTCAGGCTGGCTTTGGTACTCAAGAACATCAATAAATATGTATTGGCCCATTATGCGATGGCTCTGGGGTGGGGGATGGGCTAGGGATGCCAGTAAATGGGATAAGGTCAGAAGGATGCATAGTATGGGGGTGCCACCTCGCCCCGCCCAGACCTGGATCCTTGGCTAAGAAGCATCTTCACTTTGAGGGTCTCGTCCCTGCTAGGTGAGGGCAGGGCGCAGTCATAGCTCCCCCTGTGCCAGCCCCCAGCCCCCTGGCCCTTGGTGAATCTGGGCTGGTATTAGGGTGAGGGCGCCCCCAGTCCCCGTCTTCTCTGCCAAGTCTACAGGGCCCCACCCTGGCCCCTGGCTCCAACCCACAGATCCCCATCCCCATCCTAGCAGCCCCTGCCTGGGGTCTCAGGCATCCCTCCCCCAGGCTATCTAGGGCCCGGGATGGCAGGCGTACCCGTGGTGGGCTGGGGGCCTGGGCCGGGTGCTGCCCCCAGGAGCAGCAGGGTCCAGAGCAGGAGCCAGGGCTTCATGGCGCAGCCGGATCTGCGGGTGAGTGGCGCAAGGCTGGCTGCAAGGAGCACTTGGGGTGGTGGCCGGGTCTGCCTGCCATCCCCGTCCCGGCCCCGCCCCGCCCCGCCCCCTCCTCTGCCGGCCTCTCAAAGTCCACAGGTGGAGGGTGAGGGTGGGCCCTCTGCCTCGTTAGCACATTCCAGAAGCCTGCCCTCCCAGGGTGTACTGGCTCTGACCCCACCCTGACCCTACCTTGTCCTCCTCAGAGCCTCGTAGACGCTGGTGGCTCCTGGGGCTGCAGGGTGGCACCCCAGCTTGGGCGCCCTGAGCTGGGGAAGGGTGTTGGGGGTCTGAGAGGTAGCTTGACTGTGGCCGACTGGGAGCCGAGAAGCGTCAGGCCCGCCCTCAGCCACTCCCGCCCTGCAGCCCCTCAACATTTGCATAGTCCCCGCCCTAGCCAGCCCGCCCCGCAGGCTGGATGGATGAAGAAACTGAGGCTTGGCCAGCAGGCCGGGCGGGGCAGGCCTGCAGAGGCCCGGCCCAGTGGCTGCTGGGAGGACTGTCAGGGCACGCCAACTCTGGCTGCAGGCCAGGCTGGGCACGTGTGTGAGGATGCTGCGTGGCTCAGGACCACGGACGGACTGAAGATCTGGCCCCTGAGCTATGGTCCGGCATGCTCTGCCCGGATGCCTAGCTCCTGTGGGGGTGAGGAGAAAGGAAGCCTGCCTGGGTCTCCACAAAGATGCCAGCTGGACAAGTCCCAAACCCCACTGCCATCGCGTGGATCCCTAGTGCCCCTATAGGACACTGGAGCACTGCCCCTATGGGTTTCCCAGACTGTCAATCTGTATGGGAGCTGCCAGCCTCATCTTTCTCCTGAGGAGCGGCTGGTGGGTTTGAATTGCTGACCTTGTGGTGAGCAGCTCAGTGCTCAACCCACTGTGCAAGGCCGTCAGAGGTCAGCTCTCGTGTGAGTGGTTGGTCGCCAAGCGTCCCAGGCTGGGAGTGGGAAGCCCCGTGGGAAGCCCCCGCACCGTGTCAGTGATGGCAGCCAGCACAGGCTGCTGCCTTGACATTGGGTGGGCCCCAGAACCAGCACCCCTCCCCCACAACCCTGGCACCTGGACTGAGGCTGAAGCAGACCCTGGGACATTGCCTTGCTGCCACCCCTGGTGCACAAGGGGGTCCAGGAGGTGAGGGGTGGAGAGCATGCCCAGCTGAGGGAATGCCCACCCTTCACCCCTCCTGGATCCGGGTCACAGTGCTCCAGTGCTGCCTCCCTCCTCCTGGCACCCAAGGGGAGGTGCTGCAGGGGCCCAGCGGCCCCGGCCCCTCGCCCATAGCCCCCAGGGAGAGAGGAAGCTGACACTGGTTCCATCTTTATTAGAAGAAGGGAAACAAGACAAGACGGGGGTGGGGTGGGGAGGGGTGAGGAGCGGGCTATGGGGCAGGTGGGGCTGGCCGGCCTCAGCTGTCCATGTAGTCGTCCTCCTCGTCCGTCTCACTCTCCAGGGACGACTCCTGGCTGGACGTCTCCAGCACTTCCAGGGCCGGCTGGCTTAGGCTTTCCTTCCTCACGGTGGCAGCCGACTGTGCAGACAAGATGGCCGACTGCAGGGGCGGGGTGGTGGTGGTGGTCAGGGGCTGGATCTGCACCCTGCTCTCACCCTGCTCAGGCCCCTCGTAGCCTGCACCCTGCTCTCTCGCCCGACCAGTTACCCCCAGGCCCTCGCCCTCGGTCACCACCTTCAGCCTCTGCTTGGTCTCCTCGGAGATGCTGCCTCTGGGTGAGAGCAGGGTCGGGGTGGGAGGTGTGACGGTGATCTCAGGCGGGAACTTGGTGGCGGCCGCAGGGATGACCAGCTTTGGCATGTTGGGCAGCAGGCGTGGCTTGGCCCTGCTGGGCTCAGCCTTGCCCGGGGGGCCTCCAGACGGCTGGGTACCCCCGGGGCTCGGGGCCTTGGAGCTGGAGGCTGTGGGCCAACAGGGCAGAGTGCTGTCACAGGACACAGAGTCCCCTTCACGACCAGGGCACCAGGGGCAGCACCCAGCCTGCCCACAGCCGGGCCTCGCCACCCCTGCCTCCTGGCCAGCCCCCCTCCTGCCGAGACCGCCACGCTAAGAGCCCTTCCCCCAGGGCCACTGTGCACTCTGGGAGCCTGGGCTGGGGTGTTGGCTAGCACGCTGCCACCCCACCCCACCCCATTCCCGGACCTGCAGTCCCCTGAGTTGAAGCTGGCCAGGGGGGAGGATGGAGGCAGTCCAGGGTCTGGGCCAGGGCGAGCTGGGCAGCAGGTCCCAGGCCCTGAGGAGCTCGGCCCTGCAGGCCAAGGACAGGCTGGGGCTGCCTCGGTCTGGGTGGGAGCCACATGGGTGCCCGCCGTGGCTTTAAATGGAGTGGGCCTAGCTTGACAGCCATGCCAGCTGTTGCCAGTTGCTGCTCTCAGCAGAGTTGTCGGGGGCCAGGTTGGCGTGGCTGCCCCTGGGCATCTATCTGCCAGCCTGCTTCCCCCACCCACACTTTCCATTGGAGGAGACACTTGGGGTCCACCCTTGGCAAATTCGGAGTCCTCTTAACCACATTCCCTCCCAGCCTCCCAACCCAGCAGCTCCCCAAACAAGCCCCTCCTGCACCCCCTTCCCCCAGTCCACTTGCCTTACCCTGGCTACAGGTGGGCTCAGCGCCTGTTGGGGAGACCGCAGCCTCCGAGGGCCATTTGCTCGGCCCTGCTGGAGGCACCGGCTTCACCTGCTGGCTGCGCCGGGGCTCCTGAGGCGGGAAGATGGCGTCCTCTACTGCTCCTGCCTGTGCCTCACCCTCTGTGGGGACAGAACCAGCTCTGGGCCCTGGGGCTCCCACACAGGTGGGAAGCACATCTGGCTCATCCGCTCCCCTTCCCTGCCTCTCCCTTGGAGGGCCTGCAGAAACCATCAGCCCCTAATGTCCATCCGATGGCACGCTGGCCACCTCAGGAGGTGTACAGGTCTACACGAACCTGCCCTCCACAGCTTACCAAAGGGCTGCGACCCCAAGCCCAGCTAACTGAGGCTGAAGAGAAGCGGGCAGCAGTCGCTGTCCCTGTCCTGAAGCTGATCTTACCCAGGTTCTCTGCTCCCACACAGGGAAACCACCCTGGCCCACAGCCCCACCCCTCCTGCCCCCTGTGCCAGGCCATCACTTCTGCCCCCACTCAGGCCACCGATGCAGGGCTCTGTGTGTCCCACTGGACCTCCAGGTCCTAGGGGGAGAGCCCTGCCAGGAAGCCACCCAGCCTCAGGACGCTCGGGGGCCAGCCAAGGGCCAAGGAGGGGATGTGGGGGGGGGGCAGAGGGGGGGCTGGGGGAGGGGGCGCCGCTGCCGCACTGTCAGGCTGAAGTTTTTAGCCTGTCCTCGCTGGCACGCCAGTCCCCACTTTCCCTGAACCCGAGAGAGGGGGTGAAGTGCAGGTGAGGCCTCCTGGGTGGGTGGGAGAGGGACAAGGTGCAGCTATGAGCACCTTAGGCAGCCTATGGCTGTGAGAAAGGCTGGGCGCAGATATCCCCAAAAGTGCCCGACAGGCTGAGCCAGAACCATTCCTGCCACTGCCTGACTTCCTGACCCTCAGAAATGGCCAGGCCATGCTGGAGACCCAAGTGGCCATATCGGCCAGGGGCAGAGGTAGGTGGGCTGCCATCTAGCCCTGGTGTGTAATTTCTTGACACACCTGGGTTGGGATGGCCGTGCTGGGTCGGAGCGTGTGGCAGGCCGAGGCAAGAGCCCCATTAGCCAAGCCCCACTGCGGGCCTGCTGCCTGGCCTGGGTGTTCTCCCTGCCCTGCCCTGCCTTTTGGGTCTCACAGCACACAGATGGCGGCCCGGGGCTGGGTCCTGGTGTGTGATGGGCCGCTACTGGGACCTTGGTATTCACCACTGCACTCACCACCCCTGTGCCAGGCTCTGCTGCCCGCTGCAGGGTCCTGTGTATCTGAAGGCTGCCCAGCAGAAAGGGCACAGAGCCCCCATACTGGTCCCAGCTGCTCTCTGTCCCAGCCACTCAGAGCCAGGCAGTTGTGAGTCAGTGGGGTCCTGCTTGTCACAACCTTCCATGATGACCAGTGACAGTCAGAGAGGGAGAAACGGGGAGCCAGCGAGCCATAGGGACCCCTAGGGAGGCCGCCGCACCTGGTCAATCAGAAAGGACAGAGCAGGGCCAGCAGCCCTGGACATTGCTCGGGTAATCAGGTGATGGGAGTGGGGCCAGGGTGCACAGGTGCAGGGCCTGAGTGGCCTGTCCAGGTCTCCAGGCTTGGGGGGAGACTAGCATGTGCCTGCCGTACCCACCCAGGCTGCTGGGCCTGCCAGCCTGGTGCTGGGTCCTAGGTGGCCCCAGGCAGAGCCTCCCTTCGTTGTATCCTGTCTGTCCTGCTGTGAGATGGCAGGGCAGGAAGGCCCGCCGGTGACGAGGCCCTGGTCCCTCCTCTCGTCTGGTCCCCTTCTTCCAGGGGCCTGGAGAGGTGAGGGTGCCAGGGTGCGAGAGGATAGGGCCAGGATGCTGGCGAGTGGTCCTGTGACTGACCATATGTGGCCCCCTGCCCTAGCGCTACAGGGCCCCTGCTGGGAGGTGGGAGGAATGAGGTTCACCTGGGGCCAGAGCAGGGGTCCCTGGGGTGGCCTCAGGCCTGTGCAGCAGAGGGGGACCGGGGTCCTTAGCTGGGTCTGGGGTAGCGGCTGTGGCACAGGGTAGGCAGCTGATGGTGGCCAAGGTGGGCCGGGGCTTGGCGTGGCTGTCGCTGGGCCGCTGGAGGGCGTCGGGGGTCGTGGGGGTCACTGCCGCAGGGAAGAAGTTCTCTCGGCTGTCCTTGGGGTGCTTTGGGGTTGTGGGAGTGTCCCCAGAAGCCTGTAGGATGAAGCAGGGGGAGTGCCAGGGGCCTTTGGGTGAGCAAGGAAGGTGCTGAGGAGCTGGGGTGAAGCCTCAGGGGTGGGCTAGCCCCCTTGGCTGGCCCAGCTGGTGTACCCAGGGTGCTGAGAGCAGTCGTGGGTGGGGTGGGAGCTGGGCAAGCCAAGCCACCAGTGGTGAGTGGTTTGTCTCCCCACCCATGGGGCTCCCCGCACCCCAGACAAGCCAGACTGTCAGCAGCCTGGGGTTGTTGGCCTTTTGGGGTTGGGACAGCAGCCCCCAACTGTGGCCTCCAGAAAAATCCTGAGGTGGGGTGTGGGTGGGAGGAGCCAGATGCACCTGGGGTCAGGTCACCAGTGGGGCCATCTTCCTGCACGGCCTCCCTCGGCTGCCTGGACTCCAGCCCCAACAGCCCTCCAGGTAAGGGAGTCTCAGGGACCTGCTCAGCGGGGTGGGACTCACCTGTCTCTGGGCGGCAGCCCCCAGGTGGACCTGACAGAACTTCACTGCCTGCTCCAGCGCTGCCTCCTCATCCACCTGAGGAGTGGACGCAAGGTCAGAGTGGTCCAGGACCCAGCTGTGCTCTGCATGGGACCTCCATCTCCCTTGGAGGGGCTGCTGGCTCCCCAGAGCCAGTGGAGCAGCCAACCAAGGGCCAGCCCTGGGGCGGTGCTGTGCCCCAGCCTCAGGAGCTGAGACTGACCAGGAGGGCTAGGCTGGAGGGGACAGTGAGTTCTTAGGGGCCCGCCAGGAGCAGAGGGCCTTTCAGTGGGCAGCAGGATGGGGAACAGAGGGGAACAAAGTCTCCCAGAGCATGCCATCTTGGCAGGGCCATGATTCTTAGTGGCACTATATGATAATCTCATGCAGTCACTATGGGTTGATGCTATAATGCAGGGGATTTTATGAAAACGTGTTATGGTTATGTAATGCTCCTACCTGTTACAGATCCTTAACCTCTACATGACACGTGGGCTATGTGATAAAAGTAATGCGGTCACGTGGTGATGTACTGCAGGGGACCACAGGATGCAATGTGGTTACGTGACAATGTAATGTAGGGTTATAAGAGGACATGATGATGTAATGTAGTTATGGGATGACACACTGCCAGGGTTACGTGACGATGAAACGTGGTTACGTGATGACCAAACACGGTTACATGATGACACAGTGCTGGAGCTAATGTGATGATGTAATGTGGGGAATAGGTAATGCTGTAATCCCCCCCTATAATGAACAGCGAGTTGGTTTTCAGGGGGACTAGGATGAGATTCTAATTTGCTGTGTCAAATGTTCACCCCAAACACAATAGAATATTTTTGGAAAGGATGCAAGCCCACTGCAGAAGCCCCAGGGTGCTGCACGGCAGGGGTCCAGGGACGTGTGCCCTTTGGGAGACGGCACTGGGCAGCCTGCCTCACCTGCTTGATGAGCATGTAGGTCTCAGACATGACTCTCTCGATGCGGCCCAGGTCGTAGGCGACACCCTTCTGGCCCTGCTGCCACACACGGTAGGCGTCCAGTAGCAGCGTCTTGCCCGACTCTGTGTCCTCCAGGAGCTTCCGCTTGCGGCTGGGTCTGGGGGCCAGTTCCTCAGGGGGTCCGCCTGCCCTGGGCCCAGGCAGTGAGGGCAGCAAGGGTGTGGTTGCAGGGGAAGCCAAGGGGGGCACTTGCCCAGTGCTGATGCTTAGTTCCTCCAGAGACAGCTCGGCTGGCCGGTTCTCAGGGCCCCACTCATGCGGGGGGCGGCGGACCCCCCCCTCAGCCATGTCCATGGGCTCTGTGGGGCCTGCCCGGGGGCTCTCCTTGTCCCTGAGCCCCCTGCTTTGGTCCATATTGTCCCCTGGGTCCAGGACCACAGCCCGGGGGTTGAGGGGACTCGATTTGCCCCCAAGCTCGGTCCCCAGACCAGAACCATCAGCCATAAGGGGCTTTTTGGGGTGGGGCAGGCCCTCCCGGCCATTCTCGGGGCTGGTCTTGTGGGAGATGTCTGTGGTCATCCTGATTCCAGGCAGCCCAGCAGCCTCAGTCCCAGGGCATTCGGATCCCTACAGAGAACAGAAGCAGGGCAGAGCCTAAATCCTGTCACCAGGTCTGCCGCCCAGGACCCATGCCACCCAGCTCTGACAGTGTGCTGGCCAGTAGGGCATCAGTTTCACTGGGGCACAGGGACTCAGTAACAGGGCCAACCCCAGCGAATGGCCACGTGGAGGTTCAGGTTCTAAACCCCAGCACAGGGGGGAGGTGGTCAGCTGCTGTGGGGGAAGTGGCCGGAGGGCAGGCAGCACACCTACCTCTGCGAGCTCGCTCAGCGTGTCCTCCAGCACCTTGACCGTGAGGATGAAGGCTCGCTGTGCCAGGACCTGGCGGTCAGCATCTCGGAGGTACTTCCTGCAGAGGACAGAGGCACAGTGCCTAGTGGATCAGCAGCCAGCAGCATCCCGCACACCTGCACCAAACCTGGCTGCCCACCACAGGCCTTAAGCCCAAAGAGCTGGTAGAGCCACGAGTCCCTCCCTCCTCAGTTCCTCTCCTGGGGGACGCAGCGTGAAGCTGGCAGCACAAGTGGAGGCATAGGCTAGGGTGGTGTCCAACTGCGCCTGTTCCCTGTAAACGGCCACCATGAGAGCGGCCTGTCCTGTCCACCTGGCCCTTCTTGGGGGCAGGGTCCTTGGCGCAGCTTTAAAACCCATCTTCCCAGAGTCTGGCCTTCCAGACGGAGCCCAGGGCCAGCCCTCCACTGTGGTCCTGGCTCCTGGTGGTGGCACTCACTTGCCCTGGTCGGGTGTGCGCTGCAGCATGGAGGACACCTTCAGCAGGGTGCTGTGGTCCCCCAGCTGGGCCAACACCTTTAGCAGCAGCACGATGGAACGGTTCATGTGCCAGGCGAAGCTGCCTGGCCGGTCGATCTCATCCACGGGGATTCGCCAGATGCCCTGCAGGGAAGGCGGGGAGCTGGTAAGTAGGGGGTACTGGAGCCAGGGGTCCCTCTCCACTGGCCTTCACTTTCTCTGCAGCACAGCATGGCTCCAAGGAGGAGCAGTCCCACAGAACTGAGATGTCAGCCCCTCCCCTCCCCCAGATAGTACCAGCCAGGGAAATGGGTAAGCCGCCAAGGCCAAGTGCCTTGCCCACTTACCCTGCACCTCTACCTTCAGGAGCCAGGTCTGGTACCAGCAGGGGCTTTATTCCAGTCTGATGAGGGGTCCAGGGCCCCCAGACGTGCTCAGGCCCCACATCCCCAGGGACCTCCCATCACTATGGGCGTTTGCTCTTTGTGAGCAGTCTCTGACTCTGGTACCAAAAGCCCACAGCCCAGCCCCAGCCCCCTTCATGCCTGTTCCTCAGGCCCCTCAGCCCCCCATAGTCTGCTCAGCTCATGGCTGGCCTTGGGGCAGGACATCTGGCCACCGCCCTGCCTTAAGCCTCCACAGCTCCTTTCAGGGCACGAAGGGAGCCAGCTGCCACAGGCAGGCCCACCGCCCCGTCCCCATGACCCTCTGTCCAGTGCGCGCGCGCGCACACACACACACACACACACACACACACACGGGCACCATGTCTCTGGGTGCTCCCCAGGACCCAGGGGGATGGTACCTCCTCTCTGTGGCCCCTGGCCCAGCAGGAACCCCTTGAGGATAACCATCATCACTGCCAAGGCAACAGGCCTGTGATCAGGGTGCCCACCTGCTGGTGGGGCTCCAGTCAGACCTCCCTGCACCCCACGCCTACTCCCAATTTCTGGGACTGAAGACACAGAGGAGGGTCTCAATGCATGTAAGGACTTCAGGAAGTGGGCGGAAAGAGCAATCAACAGAGGTCTGAAGGGTGGTGCTGGCAGAGAACAGTGAACTACTAAGGACCACCAAAGAAGAGACAGATCTGTCTTGGAAGAAGCACAGCCAGGGTGCTTCTTAGAGGCAAGGGTGACGAGACGTACTTTGGAGAGACCAGTCCAGTCCCTGGAGAAGGACGTCATCCTGGACGAGACTGATGGACACAGTGGCTGCAAGGACTGTGTGTGACCTGGTGTCACTGGGAGTGGGGTCTGCCTCCTGGGACAGGAAGAGGTGCCAAAGGCAGAAAGTGAGGATTGGCTTGGTGGACGTCAGGGCCCTTCCTAGATGCCCTCATGGAGCCTCTAGTACATGGCCCCTGCCTGTCTGCCCCCTGCCTCCACCGACACCCCCTCCCCCCCCCCCCCAAAAAAAAAAAAAGAAAATCACGGAGCCTCTGGAGGGCAGGCTGGTGAGGTCTGGGTGCCGATCAGGTCTCCGAGGCACAAGAAAAGGAGGCTTGTAGCGTCCTCACAAAACCTTAGTCCCCGAGGACACGCAGAGCCCAGCTCTGTTGGGATGTAGCCCAGACTGGATGCTGTGGGGTGGGGCCCCCATCTCTCCGTCAACCCGTTCGCGTGGTGTAGGGAAGCAAAGAGCTGCATCTTTCTCCGTCTACTACTGCAACCATTTTAAAATTAGCCCCACGAACACTTCACTTGTGTGGGGTACTGATATTGTTCAATCAGAAGTGCAGTGGGTTACTAAAATATACACGTCCCCCAGGACTATGGTCCACACCCAGAGGTCTGGATGGAACTCAGCAATAGGTTTGAGTCCAGCTGGCAGGCAGGGAGATCCGGGGACCAAGCTGTCTCCTCTGGGACTCCTGGGCTTCCCAGGCAGGACTTCCCAGGCAGCAGGGAAGCTTCACTTTTACCTTGGTTTCTCAGCACACTCACAAACGCCCAGAGAGGACTGTTCACACAGCCCAGTTTACCGGCTCCACAGAGTTGTTTGCCTTCTTTTGGGGCATACAGCGGCGGTGGGGGCTGAGCCCCCCCGCAGGCAGTAAGCCAGCCCATGGCAGCTCTTTCTGACAGTGCGTGCCCTGCTCAGACATGGTGTTGGCACACACTTGGGGAGATTCCGGCAGACCCCTGAACAGACCCAGTGGTGTGACTCAGGGTGCTGGGTGGCGAGGGCGGGAACTGCCAGAGCTGACGGGGAGCCAGCACTGGAGGGCGCCTGAACTGCAGCTAGGAATGGGGACAGTCCCTGCTGGGTGCCAGGGCAGGGCGGCTGTAGGGAAAACACAGCCCTCTTCCACCCATCACCTGCACACCCACAACACCCAACCCGCAGGACCACTGGGTGAGGGAAGGAGGGCATGTCGCAGGACCTGTGCCTGCGGGGAGGGGTACGACAGCCAGGCCGCCTGCCCGCCCAGACAGCCGCCACGCTCTCCAGCACAAGTGTGTGCACATCTCTTCTTAAAGGACACTGCTCCAGGGCACAGGGCCAGCAGGCGTTTCCCCCACCCCACCCCCACGGTGAAGGCCCGGGCTGGGCCCGCCCTCAGGGAAGCCCCACCTCCACTGCCCAATCCCTTCCCGCAGGCTGGCCCTCTGGGGCAGCACCTTCCACATCACTCTGGGCTGAGATCAGGAAGTCTTTGCACATTCCGCACAAGTCCCCGGGCACCTTCCGGGCTGCTG